GTGTATCTTTTGTCTTTAAAAGGAAGCTTTTTCGTCCAACCCTTCTTCAAAAAATTCGTTGAAAAAACAAAAACAAAAAACAAAAAAATAAAAACAAGGTATAAAAATGGGGCAAATAAGGAACCACGCCTAAAATATATTTATCACTAAACAACCCCCACCCCCACAAAAAATAACAAGCCGATGTAAATAATTTCCTAATGAGTATAAAGCAAAAAAATTATACCCACGACCCATCGATGAGACACCGCGAACGAAGAGAGTTTTCCTTTTGCCCGCCCAAAGTCAGTCGATGTCGCTTGAAATGAACAGCTTCAAAAATACGTTAATGTTTAACCCACCGAGCTTTGTGCAGATTATATAGATATGGCACAAAGCCGAAAATGTGGAGCGTCGAGTGAGGATCGAACTCACTACTCAGTCGTAATTGATCTAACGAGACAAGCTTATTAACCATCATATCACGTCGAAGCGCCCAAATTACTTTACTCATGTGTTTAGTTTTAATAACATCGTTTTTAAGAAGGCATCGTTTTTTAAAATTTTATTTCTGATTTAATTGAGAATTTAAGAGCTTTACAAGGTTCGTTCTTTTTTTTTTTTTTACATGTTCATTGATTGGAAATCGATTTCCCTCGGATTTTTATTGATATTAATCAATCTCAACTTTTATCTGTATTAAAAATAGAACCGAATGTCCCACGTGTTTTAGTTTGAATAACTACGGTTTTAACTAAGACAAACGTTTTTAATTCAAATTCTGATATAATTAGAAATTTTAAAGCCTTGCCAGGTCTCGTGTATCTTTCAAAACGTCGATTAGAGATCGATTGGCCTTCGATTCGTCTTAGTATCTATCGATTCCGACATTTATCTATGGCTTATCGTCTGGTCGTTGACGCTAATTAATATTCTTCGATTTAAGTTTGCCTAAAACAACATTCGATTGTAAAGTAAAGGTTACAATATTGATTTAAATCCTCGAAAAACCTTGGATGTTTGTAACCTATTCATTATCCAATTTTCTTACACCAAAAAGAATCCAGACCCCCCCCATCTTCGGATTTTATATTGAAAATGAGCATTTACCTTACGAATGTAGTTTAATACGATACATTTATCTGAAGTAATCTGTAACACGAGAGGAAGTGGAAAAATCAGGCGTGGAAAATTCGTAAACTTAAGGAATCAGCACATATGCTAGGCCACAAAAATCTTCTGAGCCGACCAAGCATAAAAATAAATACAATATGGGAACCAGCAATAAGGAGTGCCAGAGAAAAGCAATGATAACAACAAAGTTGCAATATGAGCTCTGGTAAAAACATGATAATAATAACAACAAAAATTTTAATATGAGCGCTGTCTGAATTGGATAAATCCTTTGGCCCATCCATCAAATGTGAAAATTACTTTAGAAAAGTCAATTTTCAAGTATTTCTTGGCCCAATTTTGACGCATTAAAATAATTTTCTTTAGTGAGATGTTTTTTTGTTTTTTTTTTTACAGATCCCAATTCTCAAAGTATTCTTCACCTTTTGTCCTTCTTGACTCCCCCAATTCCACCCTTTTCAAAAATCTGAGCACTGGTCAAAAGTAGTAATTTCACTTAAACTCCTTTTAGTTTACGTTCGTCTATTATCCATTAATTTTGTTATATTTTTTTTTTACTTCAGCAGGTTCAGTTTTCGACATGACAGTTTTAATTGCTTCTCTTATGTCTGCTTTGCTGTTATATTTTTTGTCATATAATGTCATCGTCACAATTGATTTTCGATCGAATTCAGATCAGGACATGATGGTGGCCATTTCATTATCTTCTCTTCTAGAAATCTGTTATGCTCAAAGAATTCACGGACAAGCTTAGATACACGAGAAGGAGCGTTGTCATGCATAAATACACACTTCACTTTGAAACTGCGAGACTGGGTTTTGTACCATGCAAAGAAAGTCTTGTCCATCAATTGTCACTCGAGATTCGTCCGTGAAAATGACTTTAGAAAAGTAAATTTTCGTGTATTTCTTGGTTTAATTTTAAAATATTTGCTTTAGTGAGAGAAGATTGCCTAAGAGAATTTTTTATATATCCCAATTCACAAAGTATTCTACACCTTTTGAACTTCTTGACTCCCTCAATTTCAGCCTTTTTGAGCACTGGTCAAAAGTGGTTGTTCTACTACAACTCCCGTTAGTTTACGTTCATCTTGAAGCAAGTTCTTAAAGCCATTTCCTTTGCTTTGAGTTTTCAACTTACATTTTCAACAGCCTCCTTTATCGTGCGATGATCTCTGCAAAGCTCCTTTAACATCTTTAAATTAGACATTCCCACATTCAATAACTTTGTCATTTTCCGTTTTTCAGCAATTGTTAGATTGTCTCAACATATATTATGGACAAAAAGAAAAAAAACAGTTCTTAGCTTAATCTGCATAATAACTTCAGTCAGTCCATTTTCGTAGATTCCATGCATCTCAAAAACTAACCAGTAAAAATGTTAGAA